GTGCAACAAATGCCTCAAAGGTTTGTTCTGTAAAGTCAAAATGAGCCACAGTGGTATGGCGCGTTTTCAGGGTCAAAAATAAGTGTGTAGTTACCACACAAACTGAGTTGCCAAATAAATGATTCTTACATGATGATTGTCGGTTTGTGACCTGTTTTGACGTGCTGTCTTGCGATGGAATCCTTTCGTCCTGTCATGACTTTCAAATCCACACTCATTACTCGAGTTGATTTGAGAATGGTTTACGTGCATGCATAATTACTTTAATTTGAAATCTTTTTGCATGCTTTCTGTGGAACCAAATAAAGCAATTTCTTAAGTACGATTTTTTAAACTCACCCGCATTACTTTTGAAACCACTTTTTTGCATGCTTACTTGTGAAGGATTACTCAATGATCAATTTCGTAAATACGTGTTTTTTTTAAACCACCATTACTTTTGAAATCTGTTTTGCATTTTTACTTGAGAATTACGTAGCAGTAGGATTATTTTATGATGAAAACATATGAAACAATTTCTTAGATACAATTTTTTTCGAATTGTCATTACTTTTGAAAGCTGTTTGCATGCTTACTTGCAAAATATGTAACGGGAGGATCATCATTTGATAACAGAAACGAAGGATCCTTTTTTACATGGTGATTTCGACTCCATGGATGTGTTTACCCGTGTCACTGTCGAAAACGCGCTATTGTGTTTTACTGCACCCAAAACGAAACGCGACTCAGTGACTCCTAAAATGACTTTTGAATTCGCTTTCGCTACACAACAGAATGACTTGAGAACGCCCGAAAAGAGTCTGGAAACTCCTCCCCCAGTGTCTCCGGGTCATCGATCAAAAATGGCGGCTGGTTGCTGGTCGTCCATCATTGGATCATTTTCCTAAGAAATGAACTTGACACCTGAGCAATCGCATTTCTTGCAAAATCTTCGTCTACACCTAATAGATCTGATCTAATAGATTGGAACAGGATGTTAATGAAGGTGTTGCTGACTATGTGTTGTTTCGGTTGCAACAAGCTTCGAATCATCTGTCAAGGCTGGCAGCCAGTGTGGATTTAGATGTATCCAACGAAGTTTAAACCTCTCTTGCTCAAGTGAAGTCTATTTTGGCAGACACAGAGCGTAACTGGTAATCTATTTACCCTGATGTTAATACTAAAGGATTGGTTGGTCGTCCAAAGTTTGAAATGAGTAGGGATCAGTTGCAGTACCTCGTGGACTATAGTCTACTACGACCTAAAAATTTTCAACATCTCTGAGGCTCACGGAGTCAATAGAAGCACTATCAAAAAGCGTTTAGAAGAATATGGAATTTCAATAAGCGAAAGAAAGACGGATATTACAGATACTGAACTTGATTGTGTTGTAAGAAATATCCAGCGAGATTTTCCAAATGCTGCATATAGAAGAATGCAATCACAGCTTTCATTACGCGGCATAAAGATTTTATTTCTCAGACGAAAGTTCGTACATCAATGCAGAGGACGGAGCCGGAAGGGGTGGCAATGAGGTGGTTATCTGTTACCCCAAGGGCAGTGTACCATGTTAGTGGCCCTCTGGCTTTATGTCACATAGAACGAGAAGTCCAAAGACTACTGCAAAGCTGATTTAAAACAACGTGTATTGTTTTTTATAACAATAATTCGGCTGGGTTAGGGTTAGGGTTAGGGTTAGGGTTAGGGTTAGATCCATCGGTGATCTCCCGACTTTTTTGTGTCGGGAGATCACCAGAATTGGTGATCTCCCGTCCGTTTGGTGCTCTTCCGTCAGGGTGTTGGTGACCTACCGACACGGTGTTGGTGATCTACCGACTTCGCTGGTGATCTACCGACTTTTGCTGGTGAGTTCCCGTCATCGCTGGTGATCTACTGCCTTATGCTGGTGAGTTCCCGTCAGCTGGTGACCTCCCGACGTTTTGGTGATCTCCCGATTTTTTCTTGGTGATGTCCTGACCTTTGGTGATTTCCCGACTTTTTCTACCTTTGCTTACTTTATTGGTGTTAGATCATCCCAATTATCACACTGGGGATTTTTGGTCTGAATTTATCCCATCACCAGATTGAGGCTGCCTTCTTTGCCGCACAACATTAGAGCGAGGTTGACCAAAGATGGCCGCCAGAGAATTAAATACCGAGATAATAAGAGGTCTTTCTGAAGAGATTAGAAGTTTCTACGGAAAAACCGAGTCCAAATATTGGAAGTCCTTGCCACCTGAAGCGGTCTCTGAGAAGCTTGCGATCCAGGATTTGTTTAAAGAGTTGCACCGACTGAAAGAAGATTGCTTAAAGTCCTACTCACGGAGATCTGCTCGAGATAAACTAACCGTGTCTTCCTGTAATTTGCACAACATGGCCTGCCGCGAGCTTGACAACTGGAAAAGGTCGATTATTAGAAGGGAATTTTTTGTCGCCAAACATTCCAATCCATGGATTGTAGAATTCAGTTACAGACTTCATAAGGAGATATTCGATCATTTAGTGGAAATCCTCACTTGCACATCTATGTATGGAGTAAACATCCAAAACCATCTTAAGAGAAACGGCGAGGTAAAAGAAAAGGTCATTAAAGTATCTCACAAAAGGAAAGCTGGAGCGATGGTTTTCAGATGGACAAATGACTGGAGAGGTGGGGTTTAGAAGAAGCATTAAAGGCAAGGGACACACTGATCTTCTTGTAGATGCAAATAAGCCTTTCCAGCTTAAATACATTTACTCCACAGAAATGGTGCAAATTAAGTGTCATTATGGTGTCTGGAATGAAGAAGGAGTTCCTCAGTTTATTTGAATTGATGAACTAACTGTACTTCGTTTTAGTTCCTGTTGTGTTTAACAAAGATTATATTGGTTGGCATTAGCACATTCCAGTTGTTTTTTTTTTTCATAACAGTATCAAGTTGCAAGACAATTTTGTTTTACCAGGGCCTGAGCTGTATATAATATTAACTTTGTTTTTCTGTTGTTTTAAAAATATCCATACTTTCCCTAGGAAGGTGATTAGAAATTATGACAAGAGATGAGCAAAATTGTGGAATTTCCAGAGACAAAAACAGGGTTCATACTAAGACCTTCCATGATAGGGATATGGATCTTTAGGGAAGAACACAAAGATGAGATACTTTCCTGCTTCAGTTTTGAACATGTATCCCATAAATGTTATACAAGTTAAGAAATTGTTATTATTTGATTAGAGTGGGCCACTTGTGATATACTTAAATTCAGCTTGATAGTGAGGACTAGAGGACACAAAAAAAGAAACAAATAAACATGATCGTTTAATTTCCTATGTTTGTGTCCTTCAAGCCTCACTGCCAGGATGATTTTAATATATCGAAAACGGTCTACTGCAATGGCCAATTTGTGTATTTCATGATCAAGCATAAATGTATTTCTTCTTTTAGGGGTATGTATAACACAAAATAATAGAAGTTATGGTCCATGTGAAATGTATTATTTTAATGAACTAACAAGAACATCATAACCTTTAACACTATAACAAAGCTTTTGTTACAAATGAACTCTCTTCAGAAAAACATCTTATTATCTCAATATTTAATTCTCTAGCCACTACCTTTGAACACCCTCAATATGATGTTATCTAGCCAAGCTTCACAGAAGCTTTTCATTTTTGAGCTTCAGCAAGAATTTTTTTTCATCTTTACTGTTAGTTTCCCTGCTGAACCACAAGCAATAATTTCTTTTGAAATTTCACATGAGCAGTACATGCATGCACTTGCAGTGCTTAAAGGCATACCACATGAACAATATCCTGCAGTGCTGCACCGCTTTGGAACATAGGTGTCTTTACATTTCTTATAGGTATCATGAAATGGATTCTGTTGCCTTATCCAAATGTTGGACATATGCTCATGCCTAAACACTTTAGACCATCTGTGTTTTACAAGGGAAAAACTAGCAAATGAAGCAAGTTGCTGGTGTTTGGACTCTCTTTCCCTGCATTGAATTTATTCCTAAACCCACACCAAGATCTTCAAAAAGCTGTTTAGTATGAAAGGGCACACAGTAGCCCATTGCCCAAACACTGAGATTTGCAGAGTGAAATAATGATGTAAGATTGAAATATTGTCTGCAATCCTGCTCTAAATTTGGTAGATCACTGGAGCTAATATTAGAGACTCTACTAGCAAGGGACAAGCTGTTCCTTAGGTGAAGACCCATTCTCCCAAGAGATAACACAAAAAAGCTCTTGGCTTGCTCAATGTTACCCTCCTCAATTTGAGCTTGAATAAGATACATAAAGCCATCACAAAATTTCTTAGTTTCCTCCCCAGTGAACCGAAATTCAAAGGCAGATGACTTCCTTTTCTCTTTAAACCATCGCAAAATCTTATTATACATCTTCTTGCACTTTAATTTAAACCGGAGAGCCTTCAAATGCTTATAAAGAGTTATCTTCTGCCAATTGAAAAACAGACTTTGCACTGGTGGGAATCTTTGCTTTAGCCAAAACATGGGTAAAAAGCAACTTATGCCAATGTCCCCAACAATTATTTCCCACATGAAGACTATCACATTTAGCATTTTGAATAACTGGACCAAGAATTGGCTCAAATTCCTGTCTAGATTTAAGGCTTGCTATATGGTTGCATACTTTATACGCAATGTCTGCTCTTGAGCAGCATTAATTGGCCTTCCCTGTTTTTCTTTAAATTGTGTCACCTTTTTGGCAACTTCTTCCCTGAATTTATATTCCCATGGCCTCCACTTACTTTGAGGATTGTTACTCAAGCTTTGTCCTCTTTCTTGTAATTCACTAAGTTGCACATTTGCAAAAGAACATGGGTATCTAGCAGCATTGCTCAGCTCTCCAGAAAATTTTGCTAGCCACTTCATATCTGATGGAACTAGTTTAAATTCAAACTTAACCTGCTGATCTCTTACTGAAAACGTTTGACTTGCAATAGTGGCCATCTCTGATCTAAGTTGTTTCCCATATTCTACCATTGCAGGGTGATCTTCTGCACAGTTGGCACCACAAATCAAAAATTGTCATCTGGCGAGGCAACTCTTTCAGAAACATTCAAAAATGAGACAAGCCATGCACAAGCCTCATTAGCTTTACCAAAAGGGGCACCGTCTGCACCCACTGCTACTAGAAAATGAGCCTTCTGTTTACCAAACCACGTAAGAAAATTAGGTATATGGCTATCTATGTGAAGGTAGAGGTCTGCCATTTGGAGTAAACGCTCTTTAAGGTCAATATAATACCCAGGGACCACTGGCAGTAAGTTGCCATCAACTTCTTCATTTTCCTTTTCTACTTCACATTCAGCAGTAGCCTGCGGTATGCTATTAAGTTTTCCAATATCTTGTACCTCTATAAATTTCATAAGCTCTTTGTAAGGTACAAGTGCAGGTAATCTACAACCCTCTTCAAACTCTGTGCGCCGCTTCTTTGCTGGGATGTCATAATCAAAGATTTCTGAAGATCTTATATTACAATACTTTCTCTTACTAAGAATTCCACCCTTGTATAGCACACTTACAGACCTGAGAAAATTCTTTGACGACTTTTCAAATTTAGCTACAGATTTAGCCACAATCTGCGGGACAACTGTTTTACAGACAGTTTTTGACTTTTTCAGTAAATCAGTAACTACTTTAGTTTTACAATTGTTAACCAAGGTGCTCCAAAGTCCATTGGCAGTTGCACATTGAACTTCAGGCTCTGTGCTTGGCGTAGAGTGAACTTTCTTGGCACAATCATACGTAAGCTTTTCTTCTCTTAGCTGAAATATTGTGTGACAAACCAACACACTTGTCACTGTTGTTTTCATCTAGAGTGGTTGGTGTTACAACATGTTGTCCTCTTGGCAGGTGCACTATTTCATTTTGTAATAACCCTCGCTATAGAGAAAAAAAAGCAAAAAACTGATTTTAAAATGTTAAACACTGAATAATGATTTGATTATATCATTTAAAACACCGATTTGCTATAATTATGGCTCTGCATAAATGTTGTGCACAAGTGCATGGCTAGTTAGTTTTTTATTGCAAAATCGATCTCTAAGAAATTATTCATAATTATTTTGTTCACCATCTTATTAATTTATCAAGATATTTATCAGCATGCAATATTATATTTGTAAAACAAATAATTGAACAGTTGGCTTACTAAAACTATTTTACACTTCTAATCTTGATATTTTTGCGTTTTAAATCGTCTCATTCGATGAAAAATATCTGAGTGACAGTAGGTATTCAAAAAACCAAAGTTCAATTATTTTCACAACATTACGTACCTTTCTCTTTAGCTCAGTAATTCGTCCCTCCAAGTCTTGAATAGACTTATTCGCTTCAACTAAAACTTGTCGTTTCTCCTTTCTTTGCCGTGCCCACTCTCCAATGGGAAAACGTGAGGTCCCCAACATCTCGCCGGTGTAACTATGGCAAAACAAGAGCAATATCAGCCAAATTTTCCGTGTAAATAGTCAATACAACAGGCTAAAATCCTATCGTTTTCATTTGGCGTAAATGAACACTAAAAGACGTAAAATTGACCACAAACACAGCCAGAAATCTCCAGAAAGTAATGAACGATTATCCTATGGTAGTTAATGCGTAGCTAAAACCACAGGGAGCTGTAGAAATCCTACAAGATAAGCCAATCAGATCTCTCGATTCATTAAAGTTATTTTTGGTATCGTTTCTCCTTGGTTATCAATTACATGCATTTTGTCTTCGGTTCGAGTATGGGCAAAACCAAGAATTTCAAGGGGCGAAGCTCAAATGTGGAGCGCTATTTAAATAGTTGTGGCCGAGAAATTGACATTTCGGGTCTAATAGCGCCAAATCTTGCTGCTGGAGCAAGACTTGCAGCAAAAAACGAAAGTTCTTCTTTGGACGAAAAGACTGCAAGAACCTACGAGCTACGGCTCATTGCACTGGAAACGTTTGCTGCCCAGAACGGCGACGATGCTGTACTGTTCGGGCCAAACAAAAGGCCCTTTTTAGCGGCCACATTACAAACCTTCATGCGTAAGTATTACTTCTCCCAGTGTAACGATCTCAGTAATAACAGAAGACGCAAGTTACGACAAAATCGGCTATGAATGACCATGCGGTTACGAGTGAAATTTTTATTTGATGCGCCTGTAGTTAAAGTTAAATTTACGTTTTACACTGTATTTAACTGCATGACTTTTGTTCAAAGGAGACCTGATTTCCATCACATACAATTACGATTCGTTACCACAGTTTGCACTATAAACGCAAAACCTGGTTAAAGAAAACTAAGACATTTTTTAAAGCGATCGCAAAATGTGGCATATCTACTAAACCATCAATTGCGTTAACGCAATATGTGGTATAAGTAAAGGCATAGTACATACTTCTGAAACCACAGTTTGCAATAACATAAAACCTTTTTTGAAGGAAAAGTAAGACAAAAAAAACTAAGCGATCTCAAAATGTGGTATATGCACTAAAACCATAAATTGCGTTAACGCAATATGTGGCATAAAAAGTGAAGACCATAGTTTTTTTTAAAAAAAGGTAGTTTCTTTTAAATATACACTTGAATAAGAAGTTGTCTGAAACGAAAAGGAAAATAAGTGCCTGTTTCACTTGGGGGGATTGTAAAAATTGGCGAAAAAGCGTGTGCTCTGTCGTAGTTCACTCCCAGGCCAGGTTACCCAGTATATCGGGCCGTTCAAGATGGCGTTGACTTTACGTAAAATGTCCATGACAAGGTTTCCCAAGGTTTTTTTTATGAGAATTGCGACAAGCTTCAACTCTTTTTGAAGCCCATCTGCAGGGAGACCAAAATCTAGATGAATTTTTTCTTCGGCGTGTAAAATCGGTGAGCAATTAACCAGTATATAAGTGTTTTTATATTTGTCTGAGCATATAAAACGAATGCTGACGAATGATTATTTTAATATTTCAAATATTATACCACTACATGAGAAATTTCTGCAATTTGATTGGCTTAGAACAGTGGTATTTCAGCTTAATTTGAAATACCTACATGTGAAAATTACAAGCCTTTTGTGGGTAGTAGTATAAACAAATAATAGCATGATTTGTACGTGAAATTTGGCATAAATACCACTCGTGATATTTCAAAATTGTCACAAATTACCTATAACAATTTCGAAATATCACTTGTGGTATTTATGCCAAATATCACTCCAAATCATGCTATTACCTATACAAATACTCTGGCATACAGGATAATTATATACCTCATTAGACTATTTTTTTGCCTTTTTATGATATTCTCTAAAAAAGCTTAAGCGTATTAAAATCATAACACTTGTTTTTACAGAGGTGATGGGAGAAAACAAAAGAAAAAAAATTGGAACATTACGCTGTCGTGGACTGAAGCCTCCTGTTATCAGGGGCCACTTAGCGGCTTTCAACTATTGGTTTGGTGCCTTTGGGCACACTGAACAATATAGTGAAACCGTTATTACGGCTGATGATGGGTCTCGACGAGTAATTCCAAAGGGAAACCCCATGTCTTCACCTGGTAGGTTATGAAATGAGTCAAGGAGTAATCTTTGCGGCTATTGTCTGATTCTGATTGGTTTACATTGCTCACAATTCTGCGCACGTAGCCAGATGTTGTGTTTAATACCCTTTTATTCCATAAATGATATAATAATACTATAAGTACATGTTGTAAATACTCTGTACAAACTGGTGGGGGTGGGGACAGGGGGGTCTGAATCTCCGCCTCCCGTACCTTTTACTCTCCTCCCCCCCCCCTTCCATATGGGTTCCCACCTCTTTGTTTTATTTATATTGTAAGATTTTACGCAATATTGCAAAAAATTTTCCTTTTCTCCAGGTTGCCGCCACTTTGGGAATCCGCTTCCGCTGTTTCTCCTCCCGCCTCCTGTACACCTCCTGCCCCTATTCTCCCGGGCTCCGCCCCCTCCACAAACTGGGAGTGATATAAACTCAATCACATTGCTAAACCAATTAGATTATGAGCTCAATTATGGTTTCGCCCTCATCAACTATCAAGCTGTGGAAATTGAGTGAGAGTAATTGTTTTAGTATCAATCTACTTGTCATTCAAAACGTAGCAACAAAATTACTCCAATCTTCTTCAGAGACACTGAAAATGGCTTACAAATACAATAAAGCAGCCCCCATTTTGTTAACAATCGCTACTTACTAATCTATCACAGAATAAATAACAGGTAGCCAAATCAGAAAACAGCATTGGGGATTGAATGCTATTAGATTCTTACCATATTGCCTGTCCCAGCTGAATACCGGGATTGATTTTTTTTTTGGTATCTAATGGTATGTGAAAGAGACCCTCTTGTAAGAAGAATTTTTTGTTAAGTTATAGATGTCAAATGGGCCACATTTTTTCTTCCAAAGAAACCTAGTACTAAAATCCGATACTTGATATTGTTTTATAATTCCGTCATATTTGTTCACAGCTGTACAGCAAACAATTAAGCAGCTTTGTAAGAGGGCACTTCGACCTACTACAAAAGATCTGCATCGAGGAAGAGTGCCCCTACGAGCCAAAAAAAGCCCTGCCGTTTTCACTTGTGCAGTTACTGCGTATGCGTCAATACTGTTTGAAGACGGTGGAGGTATTCATATTTAATAAGTTTTTTGTAATTGCCATAGGTGGGTCTGAAACTATAATTTAAGAGCGCAAGTCATGGAAAACCTGAAAAGTCATGGAATTTTATAACTTAACTTTTCAAATTTCCAGTTTCCCAGTTTCACATTTGTTACTGAAGAACCTGCAGTGGTCCCAGGGTAAACACCAATAAAATGTCATGCTGATTTTATAAAGCAAGACCAAAATTTACTATTAAGCAACACGAAAAACTTTTGTCACTATTTTGCCCAGGGTACTACCACGAATAGGTTCGTTTTCATCCACCAAAAACTCCCTACTCAAATCAAGCTACCAAAAAATTTGCCATATTTTCGTACCCAAAAAATCCCTGAATCCAAAATTTCAAACCCAAAAAAGTCCTTTGATCATCCCCGTCAATTGAAATCCTGAGTACCCCCCATCCCCTGGGGCAGTGGAAGAACAGGTTCACACACTGGGCACCAAAGCACTCTAAGTTTATCATTTGGGGATAATGTACCTGATCGATAGCTTGAACTCATGCACCTTAATTATAACAGCTCAATTAATATTCGTCCTGTCTATATTTGAAGAACTTGTTTTATTAGATTTTAGATCCTGAATTCCAGAGGGTGAACTCACTCTGACACTGACACCATTTGGACCAGCACCATCTGTTCTAAGTTACAGATGGGTGTCATGGGTGTCTAGCTTATAGAAAGTTAACATACTGTTGAATTATTAATAAAAAACAATGTGCAAGGAACAACATTAGTTGTCCATCTTGTAGAGATGTCTGTCTTAGAGAGATGTTTGTTAAGAGAGAGTTAACTTAATGTGCCTACAGTTCACTCATTTTATGTTGTGTTATTAGGGTATGCGTGGTCTTTGGATGTGGACCATCACACTGTTTTCATTTGCCTTGTTTCTCAGAGGGGAGGAACCATTACGGTTAAAACTGAGGCATTTAAAATTGCCATCAAACTATTCAGGTAGTACTCAGCCTTTTCTTAATTTTTGCATGTATATAGTGCATATTTTTAATTTAAATATTATAATGGCTTGGCACCCTCAATCGATCAGTAAAAAATTATTGATAGTGGTTGTGGTTGTTGGGTGTGCTTGTTCATTTCTTTGTTGTTCTCGAGACAACCCTTGATCAAGAACCTTTGTTTTGCTCAAGGAAACTTTGACTTGAACTTTTTTTTTTCTTGTAGTTAATTATGGAAATGTACCTCAACGCATCGAGGTCAAGATTCCATGGTCTAAAGCAGACAGGAAAGCTAAAGGTGACCTTTTATTGAAATATCAATTTCAACTAAAGTTAATCTGTAAAGCAATGTTATGGCTACATTTTCCCCATAACACAACAGCAGTCATTTGTGTTTAGCAGTATTTCATAATCGTGTAAAAGGCATGAGGGCCTAATTGTTGTGCACTGGGCTCATGATATCAAATCAGCCTGTAATCAAGTCAGAACTAGTCAGCACACTTTGTGTTCTCGTGACACAGTTAAAACACCTCCCCCAGTTTTTTACATTTGAACGCCCTCGCCCCCCACTAATGCTTTCCCTTTGCTTATATGTTTTTGCTGTTGAGACACCCCTCCACACAGTACAGTGCCTCTAGCTGCCTGCTGAGGTAACCTTACTATGCAGTAGCAATATCATACAAGAGGTGTTTAAATAATCCGCTTTTAACAATGCACAATTGTATATGCTAATCAAAATGGGTTTGTCATTTCTCTGAAAACACTTCATTTTAGTTGTCATTCATCCCATCTAATCTGTACACACTCTGCTTATGCAACATTATCGCTTGCTTTTTTTATAGGGGTGACTCTTTCCCTTTGGGCAAACCCTCTAAACCGGGAATTGTGCCCTGTTTCTGCCCTTTTTGTGTGGCTTCTCATCACAGGTTTGTGTAACAAGTTATTGTTGTTTTCAATTGGTTTTGTAATTTGTTTGGCATCCAAGTCGTATCGTGTTCTACCTACTCATTGTACAATTTCTGTCATTTTTCCCTTTTAGGTATGAAAAAGGGAAACAATTACATTTTTCCCAGGGTTGCAAAAAACAACAGAGCTGTGCAGCTAAACTCTTCACGAGGTGTAACATCATATAGGAAGCAGTTTACAGAGGTATTACTGCATTTACAAAGAAAAAGATTGCTTATAAAGCCTTTGTCAATTTTTAACCTTTTTTGTTTGTTGTTAATATTTGTGTTTTTTTTTTTTTTGTCTTGATCATGTAGATGTCAAAAACATTGTTTGAAACCGAGTTCAGCACTCACAGTATTCGCCGTTCCGCAGCCAGATGGGCAGCCCGTTGTGGAGCAAATGATACCTCTATCAAAAGGGCTGGTAGATGGTATGTGAATTGTTTTTCTATATGTGTGTTTTGTTGTTGGTTTTGATTTTGTATCTTTTCATTTAATATAAGAGGGCAAATTGTACAGTGTTTTTGAGCAAATCTTTTCTGGCCACAGCAAATTAAATTTTTTGTTGGCTACAAAGTACATTAAAATTACAGTCAAACCCCTTTTATAATTATGGACACTGAAGGGACAATGCAAGGTGTCCTTATCAAAAAGGTGTCTGTTTTATAGAGGTCACTACGATGACTCCACTATTCAGTAACTAATGAGAGGTTTTGTAAGAGAAAACACGAGTAAATTAGTCTTGTTTCTAGATTAAAAACGATAAAAATTTGTTGAATCTTTTTCATTGTTGTTTTAGGAAGTCAAACAGTTTTGAACTTTACACATAAGACGCTCGCGCTGAGAGATGATTAAAGAGCACCACGATGGACACCCACCCAGAGATCATAAAATGTGGATGTTTAAACCACTGCGATGACAGCAGTGTCAACTTGCATACTTATGAGTGATGACATTGAGCAGTAAATTAAAGATGTACTCTAACAGCCATTTCAATAAACTGCAATCAGCTTTGGAAAAATTAATAAATCATTTCTTTTGTTTCATTGTCACCTCAAAGTCAAGGTAGAATTTTAAAATATTGAATTTCATGTATTTTATTTATCAAATGTCCAATGCAATATTCAATTGATTACAACCGAGCTTAAAATTATTAGACATTTATATATGAATGTAGCTTCAATCTTTATTTTCTATGACAAACCAAAGCAAATTACCTAGATATGTTGATGGTCAATTCACTCTAAAGAAACATAGTGAATTTGGGTTCAATAATTTCATAGTGTTGACAAATATTGCAAACATATCTTTCAATCAATTCTCGTGTAAATAAGTTTCATTAAAAAATTCTAGTGTCAATAAACTGGAACAAACTGTAACAAGTTTTTATTTGTTGGTGATGGCTTCTTCTTTTCCCTTGAGATGACCAATCACAGATGTGGCCTTGTTCAGTGCTGCATTCTGAATAAAGCAACTGTTTGGCCTATAATTGAATGCAAGAGAAAATGAATGGCAAAGTAGATTAAATGCACTTTTTGTATTTTGAGGATATTCTCCTATGAAAATGATGGGGTGCTCATCCAAAAGTTTTGCAAAAATAGTAAATGGTTTCAACTTCATCTACCCCCCCACGTGGCACCAATAATTCTAAAATAACAAATTAATTGACAATGGAAACAATGGAATGAATATGGTCATGGTTTTTGTCAATTTTACTTTTTCTGATTGACTACCTTTTTACACCCGTAAAGGTTTGACGAGCAGTCCAGTCTTTTTAATAGGGGATTACCCCATGTTATGTAACATTCACAAACGGGGAATTTAAAACAGTTTTATCAAGCTTCCTCTCAACTATAACGCATCTACCGATGTTTAGCCTGGGATGGGGTGGGGCATAACAGAGTTTGACATTTTGAATGTCCACGGCAGAACAATTTTTTTTTAAGTATCAAAATTTCCCCCTATTGGGCAAGGGAAATTTGATTTCAGAGCTCAAATAGTGTCAAATTTCCCCACCTTGGGGACATCATGTACTCTAAAGCCCTACCCAGGGGACAGGCCTCTTGGTCAATTTCCTGTGGGTAGCCCAACCCCCATTGATATTTTATTTTAAGTTACGTCGCCCCTAACCAAACTCCATATATAAAAAAAAGTCTGTCAAGAGTGAAAGAAAAATGTTTCTTGTTCTTTAGCTTTTGAGGTTATAGAACATGGGGCACAGAACCTATCCAGGGTTTGTACAGGTCATGGAAAACCTGAAAAGTCATGGAATTTTATGATTTCATTTTCCAGGCTTGGAAAGTCATGGAATTTGAGTGTTGGTCGTTGAAACTGATGGAAAATGATGCTGATTGTACAAAATAACTAATTTACTAGGCAGATTTTCTTCCAAATTAACACAACGATGACAAATTTTTTGAAAATTTTTGAGGAAAATTTTCAGATTTTGGTCAAGGAAACTTTAAGAAGTCATGGAAAATGCCATGGAAAGTCATGAAATTTCAAAAGCTCCAAAGAGTGCGAACCCTGCTATCTCCTTTCGGAGGTACTCCCAATATGTGGGCATATGGGCATATGGCATATGGGTTTTGAGGTTCTAGTTTGGGTTTCATTTTTGCTCCTCTCGCTGTTCCCCTGATCATTTTGAAGGTTCAGGCATAGAAAAATGGTATCTGTTTACGCTTTATATATCAATAAACCCTTGCAGCACATCCCTATCCAAAATTTTCGGGGGTACACCCCCCCCCCAGCAGCGATTTATTGGTGCAATTTTTTTTATACTTCCTGGGGTTGTATTAAAGGCTGTCAGACAGCAAATAAGACAAAAGGGAAACTTACTTAGTTACGGTTGTGTGAAGATCTAAGAACCATTCTTGTAGATGTTGGTTCTGATACAGGTGGCTGTCGTGCCTCGGTGATGTCATCGTCTGAAGGATCATCAACATCATTTGTGACATCCATCTCGTGGATTTTGTTGTAGTCACGAATGGAACGAACCGTAAACATTTCTTCTGGAATGTCCATATTGAGGTCAGTTCTACATTCTGGGCAAGGTACACCGCAATTGAAGCAAACTGGCGTGTCAACGAACCAAGGCAAGGTTGATTTGGCTCGTTCACTGCGTAGGCGATATTCTTGTTGGGGAAGGCCGGTTCTTTTCTTCGCTCCTGGCACCACTCCACAAGTTTAGTGGTCGCTCTCTCACCTGGCATCCAATTGTCCGTCAAAAGCTTTACCTCTTCCGTTATCATTTTGTCTTTCAAATGACTGAAAGGCCTCGTTTCCAGTAACTTGCACACGAAGTTGGCGACAACCATGTGCATTTTGTATGTGAATTTAGTATCACCCCAGCGCCGATCATTAAAATAAACTGCCAAACCGCAATGTCATATAGTGGCCTTAGAAATGGAAGGTGGTTGCTTTTAGGCATCTTGTTTTTCTTCCAATTACTACAAATTAGGAAGGTCGCCGATCAACAACACATTCAAACGAGTAATCGCAATCAGGCCTTACGTCCCTTTGCGGTAACGACTGTTTTGTTCGCGCCAGCGGGCCCAACACGCATCACCGAATAAGGAGTGAGATTTCTCACCATTGGTTTTCGCATTTCCTGTCACACTTCCTAATAAGGACCGTGCTTAGAAGTCAATTTCTCATCATTCTTCACCGTGCGCAAAGAATGGCGGAAGCGTCTGGCTCCTCATCCAAGCCTAAGAAGAGTGTTCCACCGTTGCTTTCTGACCTTCTCGACTTGGCAATCTTTTCCTTTGCTTGCCAGTCGGGACTAAGATCTCACCACAAAATCCGCGGCGATCCTGTGGTCGAAGGAGTTGCGGCCTTCTTTGGAAGATTAATTTCCTGTAGCAACCCCGAAACTCTTGTGGAATTTGACCGATTCTCGCCAGCACGACTTGGAAAGTGGGAGCCTCAAACAGAACCCACCAAAGAGTTGAGGACGCTGATATCCTCGAGGCTAAAAATCGCAAAATCCAATGAGGCGATCCGCGAATGGCAGCCGAGTGTGCCGTCCATTGTCCACGACAAAAAACAGTCCTTCTCTGAAGCAGAAGACAGAGTAAAGACCAAGTTTTTCCCCAAGTGCTGGCGCTGTTCTCGTCGTTGCGCCTTCTGTATAGCCAAGAAGAAGAACTTCCCGAAGTTTGGAAACTTCAATACTGAGTAAGATGATACCACGTTTTTTTTAATACTTTACGTAAATAGCACCTGGAAGAGGAAATTATTCACATGATCATATTTTCATATTTCACTACCGAGCTCAACATTTACCATCTTTCTTTATTTATCACCATAAAAGGCTATTGCTTTTTTAAATCATGTAGAGATGTGATCTATCGATAAACAGCTAAAAACTAAAAAAGCTACAGTTCGAAATGCAGCAAGCGTTCGATTTATGCCTGCCGATCCTGTTTCCTTACTCTAGCGGAGGAATATCTGGATTGTGGTAAGTTTATCCCATGCATGTCGCTACAAAACAACCAAATAAAGTCATGTCGCATAGCGAAACATAGCAGCCAGAGCAGACGCGGCACAAGGTAGTAGCCGTAATGGGGAAGGAACGCGTGAAGTCTAATGTCGTATATTATATTTTTTTAGTAAGTCTTGCTGATTTTAACTTGTGATTTATATGTTTTTCTGTTTTACGGGGTCTTCGTTTTCGTAGTACGAAAACGAAGACCGGTCTTAGGTCTTAGGTCTTTGTTTTCGAGGGTCTTCGTTTTCGTAACACCCTATAAATATGTGCTCATATGCCAAAGCTTGTCAACCAATCAGAATTCACAATATACCATAGCTGGGCTTTAATAATTAGTTGATACCCTCGCTTTGACACGAGCACACACAGTGGAAGACCAGGGATAATCTACTGCCTTGCTCCCAGGCATCTCTCTTTATCATTGCAAAATGGGCTTGCCTAAGAAGAAGGGGAGGGCGAAAGGCTTATTTTTCACTCCTGTGATCTCCTCCTCGCGTTTGCTTTTGATCATATCCAGTTGTGTTCTGTTTGACGCGACTGAAACTCAAAATGCCAGTGGACTGGTGAAGAAGACAGGCCCGGGGGAGGGACTCTCCTATAAAAATGGCAGGAGTGCCCGTCGTTCCTTTTAGGGGGTAAGAAATTCTGACCTGATTATTCAAGGACAATTATTGACAATTGGCGATCCAATTGTGATCAGTCAGTGTTGGACGTGGTCCCGCATGATTTAATGCAATTTTACTGTCACGCCAGTAAAATGTAGTTATTGGAATGTGCTGCTCGCTATCAGTAAGCCGTTCATGGCAGTTTGTTTGTCAATAATATGCTGTAATAAATAAGGGACACTCCTGTGGGTGCGATTAAGTCTGCCAAGAGACTTCCCCAAGCTTTTGGTTTGCATTGAGTTTAAATATCACCTGCTAACCAATATTCTTGTACGATCCAGCATGTGCTGTACAGCACTCCACTCGTAGTGCTGGAGATATAAGTGAGGTTCTTTTGTCACTCAATCCCTGGTAGTCGAACAGGCTTACCTGTTCCAAGGCAGTGCTCCCCCATTAACGGCAACCCGTGTCACTATTTTTCTACATAGTTACTCTCACATATTAGACATTTAACGTAAAGGAGCCAGGACATTAATTGAAGATAATCAATGGCATTTACAAAAAAGGTTATGGTCATCGACTCTCAATCTCAAATGAACGATTCATTGTTATCCGTTATTGATTTCTCTGATAATTTTATCAAGCTGGCAAAAAAAACAGAGCCAGCACGGTACAATGTGATGGCATGGTAACATTGTTATTATCATTGATGTTAATTTGAGTCGTTATTGTTTCTAACAGTATTGCCTGGCCATTCCTGGATGTTCTGGAAGGACTTTTAGATGAAGAGGAAGACGTTGATGATTCTGAGTCCGACAGTGAGATACAAGGTGCTGATAATCATGAGCTAGGTGATGATGATGAGAATGATAAAATGTTGCAACGATGCTTGTCAGAAACTTCCCTGCCAGAAAGCGAGAATGATGACCAAAACCCAGATGGTGATGATAAAGATAAAGGAGATGATAGCAATGACGAAGTTTCATCTGACCAAGAAATGGCTGAAGACCGTTTGTATGATGATCAGTACTACTGAATTGACTGTTCTTTGTATTGCAAATTACGTACATTGTAGGAATGGGGTGATGTACAGCAATGTGTGGTTCTAAAATAATACCCATACAATATCCATACAAACATAAATGTTTTTTCTCCGATTTACTCTTCCAATTGGAATTTTTGGTTTAGCGTCTCGATTTCCTGAAACCATGTTTTTAATCGAGACCTCCCTGACTTCTACAAAGTTCCAGTGTTGATCCTTGTGGTGTGTATGGATATTGTCTTGAATTTAGACATTATTTGAACAAATTTAGAACTGAGTAAATAGCATGAAATTAATTCAACCAATCATGATAAATTAGTATGGAGCCACAAATATACCATTGCAAGACTGGGTTAACTTTCTTACTAAATAATTGGATATAACTTCAAACATTTCATTTAAATGCAAGATGAAGCACAAGCAAACTCGAAATTTCCATTTTGGGAACCCTGCAGAGGAGGCAGGCCAGTTGGTATTTTTGACAATCTAGACATGACTGCACAGCAATAATTTTTATCTCTAGGAAAAGTGTAGAGATACTCTCTAGAAGTTAAGAGCAATTTAAAGGGAATAAGTCCAGTTGGGTGTTGATGATGAGAATGACAAAGAGTTCGGTCTAAAAATCGGAAAAAGGGTTGCAATGTGTTGTTCAACTAAGAAAGGGAAACGTTACAGTTTCAGAAATCTGGATTCCACTATAATATTGACTTAAGTTAGTGCAAGTGTTTTGCAAGAGTGTCACATTTCCATTTTAATAGACTATTTTAAGTTTTTATATATATATATTGTTACTGTTACAGTTATAGTGGTTTTATCTTGTGTATAGCAGGGGCCCTTTTGCAGGCATTTTATCGAAAATTAGTACAGAATTGTTTGTAGATGTACTGTTTTTAAGGGGAAACTTTCCTGCAGTTTCATTATAATGTTAAGTAGCTTCTTGTGATTGAAGTAACAGATAAAGCTTCCTTGTACATTCACTCCCCTTAACTTCGGCTATGCAGGCTAATTTTCTATCAACAATCGTAAAGCACTTGAAATGACACCAGAATAGAACAAACCTTACAAGTTTAACAGAAATAAAATACAAACTGCGGTTATAACCATGACATAACAACGCATGTTGTAAAAAACTTTGATTATTGACTTGACGTTTCCTATGCTTCAAAATACATCTTCAGAAGTGACAGTTGGATATACTGCAATAAAATTTAAATGCTATGGAGAAAGACTGGAACCTAATTAAAAGATATGACAAAAAAATGATAATATACAGACCTATAATAAGATGTATGTTAAAGCATACGAAACGTCAAGTCAATAATCAAAGTTTTTTACAACATGCGTTGTTTTGTCATGTTTTATAACCGCAGTTTGTATTTTATTTCTGTTTAAGTTGAAATGGCCGAAGAATAAGAGTTTTTACGATGTAGTTTATGAGCGGTATGGCCATGAGACGTTGAAAACCTTACAAGGGTGTGGACTCGGCTCAATTACTTTTTATAAAGGTTTTATCTTGTGTATAGCAGGGGCTCTTTTGCAGGCATTTTCTCGAAAATTAGTACAGAATTGTTTGTAGATGTACTGTTTTTAAGGGGAAACTTTCCTGCAGTTTCATTATTATGTTAAGTAGCTTCTTGTGATTGAAGTAACAAATAAAGCTTCCTTGTACATTCACTCCCCTTAACCTCGGCTATGCAGGCTAATTTTCTATCAACAATCGTACAGCACTTGAAATGACACCAGAACAGAACAAACCTTACAAGGGTGTGGAATCAACTCAATTACTTTTTATAAAGGGAGCCCCCCCCCCCTCCTCCTCGGAGGGTACTCAAATTATTCTTGGATGGGTGGGAGTATGCGGCCTGGTCTGGCCTGGTCCCTCAAACCACAACACAACAAAAAAACGTCAAATTTGCTACCCCGTCAAAGACAGATTTCCCGACTTTTGGAACCCTGTTTAAGACATTTCAACCCATTTTCCCCCAAAAAACCTGATTGAGATAAGGTGATGAGGTGATGAAATTGATATCCTGTATAGGACAGGGAACCCTGAAAACACACCCTAAAAAATCAAAGACACGTTTTGCGGTGACGCAAAATATGGTTTGAGGAGCATGGACTTATAGACTACGCTTTTCATGCCATGGTTTGAGTTGACGCGAAAGGTGGTTTTTGGAAACAAAGACAGTTTGCGGTAACTCAAAATATGTCTTCGGAAAAGAAAGACACGTTTTGCGGTGACGCAAAATATGGTTTGAGGAGCATGGACTATAGACTACGCTTTTCATGCCATGGTTTGAGTTGACGCAAAAGGTGGTTTTTGGAAACAAAGACACAGTTTGCAGTAACTCAAAATATGTCTTCGGAAAAGAAAGACACGTTTTGCGGTGACGCAAAATATGGTTTGAGGAAAGAGTTGACCCTAAGCGGCGTTTGTCATGCACCTGCAAGGACCGCGCAGCGGGTGGGACTTGGGCAGGGTGGGGATTTGGCTCCATCTGCACTTTTTATACTAAGAACAAAAATATAGACAAAAAAGCGAAGGAAATACAATAAAGAAGCACAATTAATATTTGTCCTTGGAAGTGTTATATTTTTATAGGCATGATGGTAACTACAAAGTGCGGCCTTTTGAAAACTACTGCAACTAGGACCTGAAAATATTTCAGGCTAAGAGCGGGATTCAACTCTCACGACCTCTGCGATGTCGGTGCAGTGCTCTACCCAACTGAGCTATCCAAGCCACATGAGAGCGGTCCTATGCGGGTCAGCCCTTTATGTGGACGTAATACTTGGCCCTAGTTGCAGTGGTGTTCAAAAGGCCTTACTTTGTAATTACTATCATGCCTATTACTACAGTTACATGATACATGATTGTTGTTTGGATCCCCTAACTACCTGAGTACTGAAAGCGTTTAGAGATGTGTTCTTTGACTTCTTAGAAAATTGTCGCGGCCAGATCAGTGCACGTCATGTTGCTATGTATGATCTATGGTGTTTTTGCTACACCAAGGTTTGAGTCATTTCAAAATGCGGCCTGATTTTCTGGCCATATTTTGCGTCAACGCAAACTATGGCTGGCAAAGCCAGCATAACTTCAGTTATCAACAAAATGCCATAAAAGATAAACGTTAGCTATGTAGATTTCTGATCCACATCTCAGGTTAAAATCAAAGTCGTATTTTGCGATAACTCAAAACGCGGTAAGAAAAATTCACCAGATTGCGCATTGACGCAAAATGCGACTTGTTTAACAAACCCACATTTTGCGGTGAATTTTGACGCAATCTACGGTTTTTTTTGTTTTCCCAAGGTTTGAGTCATTGCAAAATGTGGCGTGGTGTTTTTGCCACATTTGGAATTAACGCAAACTATGACCAATATAGTGAACACAGCCTTCGTTAACACTAAAATGCCATCGATAAGATTATGTTACCAATGCAGATTTCAATGATCTTCTCGACAGATGAAATTAAAATCATTATTTTGCGATAACTCAAAATGCGGTTAAAAACATTCACCATATTTCGCATTGACGCAAAATGCGACTTGTTTAACAAACCCACATTTTGCGGTGAATTTTGACGCAATCTACGGGTTTTTTTGTTTTCCCAAGGTTTGAGTCATTGCAAAATATGGCCTGGTGTTTTGGCCACATTTTGCAATAACGCAAACTAAAATGCCATCAATAAGATATGTAACCTATTTCGCATTGACGCAAAACGCGACTTTTGAATCAAACCGATTTTGCGGTGCAGGAACCCCGTTAACCTCAACATGAAGCGAGAAAGAGCATATCTACTTCCCCCTGAATGGGATGCTAATCAATCACATGTTCCCCCCCCCCCCGCAGGAAATTCGTTGTACCCATTTATACACCATGAGAGTAATAAGTCTTGCCCAAGAACGCAACGCAGGTACAAATGTACCCGGGCCCAGTACTCCAATCGGTAATTTTCCGGGCTCGAAGCCAAAATTAGAAGCCAAAACCCAAAGAATAATAGTACGGACACTTGCTTACAAACAGTCCATTTTGTTTATTTGGGTCTGCGAGGTTCTCAAAATTTAACGGTTAGTAGTTTTTAATGTTTTCTCAATTGTGAACTGTGGGCTATGAAAATTGAAAAGGGACCAGTATTTCAGTGGATTGAACAAAAAATTCCAAGGCCTATCAACCAGGCGCTTTATAGAAGGGGGTCGACATGTTTCAAGTCTATAGGAAGTGCTTGTTATGAGCCGTATACACTGAATGCAAATATGGCCGCCCAACAATTTTTGGCTTAGACAGGTTCACAAGAAAAGAAAAGCAATTAGAAAATGATAAAGATCACGTCAAAATAAATCATTGTGTGCATTTTCAAGGCCATATTCTTATTTTAATAGAAGTCATAGACACTCAAATTTTGGGAAAAACATAAAAGCGAGGCTAGTGAGGCCAGACTGTCTTTTCTCATACAAATGCTTAAAATTTCAGTGAGCCATAACTTTACAACCGTTAATCGAAAAACGCTGAATGATGATACACTTAGTAGCATGTGTTTGCATGATATCATTAATTTCTATGAAACCTTGGCCAAACAAAAAATTGCCTGGCGGCCATATTTGCATTTGGTGTATGACAGTATAGAAAAAAAAAAACCTGTGTCGGGGTCAAAAATTTTATTTTCAATTAAGCTTTTTATAATAATATTATCGCTACAGTAAACAATAAAATAAACTACATTTATCTAATCTGCTTGGGCTACACTATTTAAAAAGACTCGTTGAGGGCTTCCAGCTAAAACTAATAAAACCACACCTGGACTCTGGACTCCACAATAGTCAAAAATAACTTGAAAATATTTATAAAATGTCAATTTTGAAAACGTTTATGCCATACAATAACAACAATTGTCCCCACCCACCACCATCTCCCAACAAAACCAAAATTCTCTTGTTCAATTAATACAATTTGCTCTTATAAGCACTAAGATTACTAAGTATTTGCGTTCCTATAATACACTGAGGACCTACAGGTAGGAAACGAATTTAGAAGAACTTATTGGGTTTACATTGACTTACACTGTAGTCACTTGAAACATGCATAAAAACTCTTAAGCCTAAAATTTGGAAACAGGTTCTTATTTTATATAATTTGTTACAAATGTTATTTTTAAGAACGAACGAAAACGATTTCAATGGATATATTACGGGGAAGGGGGGGGGGGGGGGTTCAAGAGAACAAAAGTCTTCTGGGAATCTAAATATGTTGACAGGATTCAGGAGACTTGACTTGTTTTCTCCAAAACCTTTGGGACAAATTTCATTGCTAAAACGTTGTTAGAGCTGTAACCCCCTATTTTTCTGAGAAGTTACTTTAACTCAGATTATAAAGTTGTGATTCTTTAAAGAAATGGCTAAATACTGCTATCAATTAAAAATGGTGAAACAATGCACTGTTGAATTATAGCACAACTTTTAGGAGTTTTACTGCATTTTCTCTGATTTTCAACTGCGTGCCCTTACTGAATTTTGAACAATTAATACATACATGCATGTACATGCATGTGAAGTGAGGTGAAGTGAAGAATGACTCAGGCAATCGCTGGCAAAATACAAAATCAATGAATTCAACCATTTAAATAACTTTCAGATGTGGACACTTAATTGACCAATCAGAGAAAGTTTATGCCAATTGTGCTATAATTATCATTGACAATAACATTTACATCATCTATTAAAGAACCTGTTTGGACTAACTTGGTAAAATGCAAATTAAATGATTAAATTAACTTCTACTGTTTCTTTGCATTCAGTATCTTATACAAATTTCCTGGTTTTACTTGTGGTACTTTCCCGAGATGGCATTTTCGTCAAAGTTATTGTTTTTAAAAAAGTGTACATAAACTTTCGTTGGCTAAATAAAGAGGAGTTCTTGCCAGCATTTGGAGCTCGGTGGTTGCGCATTACCTTTGTCCATTTACAAAGTGGCGGGCAGTTGATACCCCCATTTTCCCAGATTTCTTTTATTTGATGAAGAGTTTGGACGTTCCTTGGAATATTTAAGGAGTCTAGCCACTCGGGCAATGTCCCAGACCCATACTCCCTGTATATCAGTATTGTCGCAGGGTCTGATAAAGAGAAAGTGGAGGCTGATGGGTTGCCTTGGTTGGTGACTGGTAAGGAAGAGGTTGGTTGATTGAAAGAAGCTGCAGGTTGGTAACTAGACAGGAAGGATGTTGTTGGTAAAGAGGGTGTGGTAACAAGAGACGCAGTGGGTATAGTGGTTGCTGTTGAGGTCTGTTGGTTGTTGATGGCAGAAGCAGCAGGTTGGAAGGATGTTGTTGGCCTTGCCCGTGAGGCAGTTGGGCTTGAAACAATAGGCACAGTGGGTATGGCAGTTGCAGCTTGGCGGTAAGAGATGACAGGTGCTGAAGCCGTGGAAGAAAGTGACAACGAGAAAGTGGAGGCTGGTGGGTTGCCTTGGTTGGTGACTGGTAAGGAAGAGGTTGGTTGATTGAAAGAAGCTGCAGGTTGGTAGCTAGACTGGAAGGATGCTGTTGGTAAAGAGGGTGTGGTAACAAGAGACGCAGTGGGTATAGTGGTTGATGTTGAGGTCTGTTGGTTGTTGAAGGCAGAAGCAGCAGGTTGGAAGGATGTTGTTGGCCTTGCCCGTGAGGCAGTTGGGCTTGAAACAATAGGCACAGTGGGTATGGCAGTTGCAGCTTGGCGGTAAAAGATGACAGGTGCTGAAGCCGTGGAAGAAAGTGACAACGAGAAAGTGGAGGCTGGTGGGTTGCCTCGGCTGGTAACTGGTAAGGAAGAGGTTGTTGATTGATTGAAAGAAACAGAGGGTTGATAGCTGGACTGGAAGGATGTTGTTGGCATTGACGGTGAGGCAGTTGGGCTTGAAACAATAGGTGCAGTGGGTATGGCAGTTGCAGCTTGGTTGTAAGAGATGACAGGTGCTGAAGCCGTGGAAGAAACAGACAATGTGGATACTGCTACATTTGAGGTTACGGTTGGGGTTAAACTGGGGAAAGATATTGAAGTTGTGTGAGGAATTGTTTCTGTTGATGATGTTGATGTTGTGGCCTCATTTGATACCATAGACACAAATACAGAGGACCAGTAGGCCACTTGCCTGGCAGCGTGAAGGGCAGGACCCATGTTGCTTTCTTCCTGATACTGTTGTATTTCCTGTGACATGTTGGCCATTAGATTGGCCAAAGAAGACGATGTGGGGCCAGGAGAAATCCCTATCCTTGCTGCTTGCTGTCCCGAAATGTATCCATGAAAAGTGTCGAGGATCCCTCTGCATCCTCTACTATCTGTCTTGCTGAGGGAATTGGATCCTTCAATACATTGGATACCTCCTCTCGACTTCTCATTGCTTGCAATGCCTTGCATAAGTCAGTTTCCTAAAAAAAGACAACAGAAATATGCGTTTAAATTACAGTAGATAAACTATAAAATCAGTAGAATATAAAATATCAGTGTATCAGTATTTCCCTGCCAAAGTTACAAAGTTACAGTATAATGTAAAGACAGTCGTAAAGAAACAATAGAGACTCAAAGTGTTGCTGCACGGCCCTGTCTCCAGGGTACACAATAACATCGGGCGTGTTGGGTTGATCTATTTTAGAAGTCTATTCATTTAAACATTGGTCAAACATGAGGGCCAGGTTGTAACTCGTTGTTTTAAGTGGCTGTAATAATTAAATGTTACATTACTATTGACAGTTTTAGATGCATTCTTGGCCATTTCTATAGAATTAATTTTAAGTTTTCCCCAGGGAGCATGCCCAATTCAAATTGTGCTGGGGGAGCATGCCCTGGAACCCCCAGTAAGCTTAAGCTTAAGCATTGGTGTAAGCCCCCCACTCGAAAATCTGCCATGAAACAACTAACATTTTGACTGTTTTAGCTAAGATTTACATGTATTATATCAATTTTTTCAATATAAAGAACCCTTCTTCAAACAAACAAATTTGGCTGTGAGTAATTGAATAGATAATAATGGCAAGCATAGTCTATCACTAAGAGTGCTGCTGTGGCTTATGGGGTTTGCGGCAATAATAATAAAAAAGAAAAAATTTAAGTAACTGAAAACAAAAGAACAAGCAAGAAAGCCTAAATATGTTATGTTACGCTACACCTACTTGCTTTTCGTCATCTTCATTTCCAGTGGAAATGTCATCCAACTCGGATTCTGAGTCCGAATTCTGTTAAAATAAAAACAAAAAAATAAACAAAGACCTAAATATACACTATACAGTATATCTAACAGAAAATTACCTTAAAGTAAACATTTTCAAACTCCAAATATAAATATGTAACTTTAGTCAAGTCTCTCTAAAACGTACACCAAAGGAACATTAAGTGTCTGTATTAGAGGTGTTTGTTTAAAAGAGGTCACTAGCTGACATCACTTTTAGACTTCACTGATAGTCAAAGGTGTTAAGTAACTAAACACAGGCCAACACTACATAATCATGTTAACTCCTGCTTTAACTGCACACTGCAGTATAAGGGAGTGTGTTACTTCATACATGTAGTACATGTAGTACATCTCAGTTACATACCATATATGGAACGAATGGAACAAAATAAACTACAAAAAAAATCACTTGACGTAACTGTCCCTATTAAAGAGGTTATGTGTATATATGTAATTTGCTCGTGTGGCCAATATTAATTTTTGAAGAAAACATGTCAGGAGTTTGTCAGAACATGTTAAACTGTCCATATTAGAGAGGTGTCCTTTCTCGATAGGTATCCGTACAGAGAGATTCAACTGTATATGTTGCAGGTTAAATCGAGCCTTAGGTTAAAATGGTTTTAACCTAGGTTGGTTTTGAACTTTGTTTGGTACTTATGATAAATTATGATAATGAGTAAAAAACAAAAGAAGTTCCATTTTAACCTAAGGCTCAATTTGACCTGCAACATATATACGTCAAATATTAGGATTTGAATAACACTTTCTTATATCATACAAACAAAAAAAAACTGTTAAATTGACATTCAAGGTAAATTAATTTTTGCATTTTAACTGTAACATCAAGATGGCTCTTTGCTGTTTAAAAATGTTATTTTAAAATATTTTAAAATCTTATTCATTTAAAACAAGTGTTTAATTACTGTTTGGGCAGTCAGTGTTCATGATAAAATGTTTTAAAAATTTCGAATCTGACTTAAAAATGATGTAAAAACTTTGTACTACTGAATTTTCAGAAACTATACTGTTTCCTTCTTCTTCCTTCATTAATGAAACTTTTGTGATATTTTCGCAATTATTGGCTAATTGGAAAGGTATCTTAACCCTCCATTTAATGAGTTTTTTAAAAAAAAAAATTAGCCCTCAAATTATACAGAATTTTATTTTAAAGTTGTTTGCTGCAATTTTATAAAATTTTGTTTGCCTGTTTACAAGTTACGCTTTCTGAAAATAATTACCTGCACAATCTACTGTACATGATACTTAATAGCTTTTTTCTGTTAAGACTAGCATACAATTATTATCAACAGAAAAAGAGACAAAATCGCACCATAGTTGCATCTACTTCAGACTCCTCAGATGAATTCTATAAAAACAAAATTCAGCAAATTGTTAAAAAAAGCTATGTGACACAAATACATGCAAGCACTTTCCTTTGTACAGAACCATTCTGACTAGTATATGGACAAAGGATAAGAAAAATCTCAGCCCCATATAGAGGCAATGCGTTGCACACATAATAGTTAACACACATAATTAGGGGTTTACACCCCAACTAAGTTGCAATCAGGAATATTTTTTAAGTCGTGGCAAAAGTCTCAGGAAAACAAAACTAACCGTTTTCCTTTTGGCCCAGTCATTGCACATAGGTAGGTTTACACTAGATATATATACTTAAATGTTTGGCATTTGAATTATTGATAAGGCCGATTTTAAGTAGGTTGATTTGGTGGGCATTTAAACTAGTAGGGAGTTTGAATTCGTCGTCTAATCAAAAGCTCTAAGCACTTTACTTTACTTTTTCCGGGACAGCCAACCCCTCGAGAACGAGGATTATAGGCTGGGATTATAGGCACTGGGATTATAGGCACCAGGCTAGGATTATAGGCACTGGGACCTTGAACGGTTGGAAAGAATAAACATTCAGGAAATCACTACGAATGGGTTGAAACAAAGAAATAGCTCCAATTATTAATAACAAATCTCGTTTTACTCATGTACATGTACAAAGTCTTGCATCAAAGTCATGTCTGTCATATTTAAAAAGCCATAATTCTTTGTCGACTCAGTATAACTGAAATGCATCAAGAAAAAAAACCAGGCAAGTATCTTTGCAAATGGATGTCAAATAGAACTTACAGTACATTAAATTCTATTTTAGGAAAAAATCTTCAATCTATAATTCTCTATAAAATGCCATATCAGAAAATAGAAATGCCAGTGTAATGAAGCTGGAAAAAAGAGGTTGATGGCTTGTGGTATTTCTCTCTTCTTGTCTTTTCCTTGTCAAGTTTATTGTGAATTTAGCTTACTTCTTGAAATAAACCTGAACTTATTCTTGACTAATTCTTGTGTACACATGCAACCTTGTTGTTGTCGTCGGCGCCGAAACTGACAAATGTATATTTTGGTCAATAAAGAGAAAGTCACAGTATTATTTGACTCAGTTATTAAAGTAAAGCCTTTATGTATTATTTATTTGGTCTATTTTTGTTCAGCACCAAATAAAAGTCATGAACTGATACATTTATTGGTCTGCTGGTCACTTCATGGAGTTTAATTCAAAGAAATGCAAATATCTTGCAATCACAAGGAAAAAGAATATTGTGGATTCAACCTATACACTTAATGGCTCACAGATTATGTCAGTTACAACTGAGAAAGACCTTGGTGTGCATGTTTCCGCCAAGTTGTCTTGGAATAATCACATTGACGTTATTATTAATTAGTAAGGCCAATAAGATGCTGGGCATGATGAAAAGAACATGTACCAATGAGTGTGATCTGAAAACACTATTAATTTTATACAAGTCACTTGTTCGGTCACAGCTTGAGTATGCGTCACAGGTCTGGTCACCTTACACTAAAGAAAAGATAACTGCACTTGAGCGTGTACAAAGACGTGCAACTAAATTTATTTTGAAAACTGACTTAAGTTATCCTGAGAGACTTGTCAAACTAAACCTTTTACCTTTAGAATATAGAAGAGAGATATTGGATCTTTGTTTCTTCTTCAAATGTCTTAAGGGTTCTTTAGATTTTGATGTTTTGTCATATGTAAATTTTAAGTCACCCAAATATAACATCAGAAATAGTGAAGCTACGCTGGTGAAAGGTCTTTTTAAAACTAATGTCTTTAAATTTTTGTTTTTTAATCGCATTGTAGACCTGTGGAATTGCCTACCACTAAGCATTAGAACGATTGAATATTTTTCATCATTTAAGAACAATGTTGATAAATTTTATCGCAATAAATTTAACGTAAATAAGGATGGATTTTTATAATTATTTAATAATATATCGTCATGATATTTTATACTATTTGAGCTACCTTCCATATTTTTTATGTATATATATATGTTTTATCTTATTGAGGCAGTTTATTTTTATAAGGAATCCTTGCATTCTGTATAAACTGACCTAATTATTCGGATCTTGTGATTTTCACATTTTTTTTTTACTTATTTTTTAATTGTTAATTTATCTTCAAATGTGTATATTATGTTAAGATCTGTATAATTAAAGTTGAGTAAATTTTAAATTTTAAATTTATAGTGGAACGGTTGTGTTGAATGTGCACTTGGCATTCCAGTTCATCGGCTGCGGTTATAGATATTTTTATTCAAATAATAATTTCACGTTAATTTGCTGTGCCGTGCAATTTTTGGACAAATTTATTTCCATCGACTTATACTTTCGCTACACATAGTACAACTTCAACCCAAAAGCAGAGGGCTTATGGGTTGATGTTGACAGGTCGGTGTCAAGAATGAAATGATTGACGTCTCACCCAGGCCAAGGCTCCTTTTATAGTGCGGGTTCCTCTTTAAACGCACTTCAAGTGCACATGGGATCTGCCTTGAAGCTGCATTTTCAAATATTTGCCAATGAAATGTATATAAAAAAAATAAAAGTTACATGGCCTGCATATCGAGGAAAACCACCTAAAAAATTTTAAAAGTTCTAAATTAGCAGAAAGTTTTAATAGCCAGATATATAGACTGCCAAGATACCAGCTCTAACAATTTTCTTCGCTCGTCACATGGCTGCTCAAGTGTCATTGATTGAATGAAGATAGCTACATATAGCATTCGAAGAATTGTATTCATTACAGTAAAGCATCATTCATAAACTTGTTCAGCTACATATGTAGTGATGGCGTGAAACTATCAACGTGACAACATGCGTGAGGTGTGAAATTTCTTTAGCTCGCCACGCGCACACAAATTCGAACAGAAATCTGTGCAAAACAGTGTTGAAATTTGCACTGTGGTTGTCTCCCTGTGGTTAACTTGAATAGTGTTTAACAAAATAAACTACTCGTGATTATTGTCGAAAATACACCACACCAACATTCCAAGTTATGTTATATAACGGGACATCAAGATATTCGCCATCATACTAATCACGCGGGACTGATCATAGACGCCGTGTTCATTTTGGAAGGTTCTGCGATGTCCATACAGAAAAAAATACAGCTCAGCTAATACTTACGTCGGAGTCAGTATCAGGAGCATTGCTTGTTGATGCCACCACGCGTGCCGCCATGTTGTCGTTTTCAACTCCACTCGCTCGTGAACTCCGTAGAGCTTTGTCGCCAGGCTTTCTATGTTGTAGGAATTCTGACGTCACTGTAGTAATCCGTAGGAAAGTTGTAGGAATCGACCTCCATATATGGCGCCCGGAAAAATTCTATAATTCTGTTACGCTTTTCGCGGTACGTCCTATAATACTATTTACCTTCTTCTTTTAGATAAAGAGAAAAAATCGAAAATCTCCCTAAAATAGTCGAATTTGGTATCAAATTAAAGCTTACCTTCTTGTTTTGCAAATGGCGGACAACACAAACCTCGTAGGTGTCGGTCTTAGGCACCAGATCTCTTCAAAGTCCACCGTGGAATGGGCCTGTACTCTACCCACAAATCTGTGCGCGCGTGACCAAAAACAGGTGGGGTGGTCAAAAATCTGTCAAAAATCCCCAGTGTGATGGGTGAATTGACTGAAACTTTCACAAAATGTTAAATAATGTCTGTTAATTTTAAAAATGTGAAATTTGGATTTTTATCGAAACTTTTAATATTTTTTTGGGCAGGTTGAAATTCAACTTTCAATTTTTCGGTCATTTTTGCATTATTTGAAGAAATTATAAGGAATGAAAGGTTTGGGGTTAAACAACGTATAAGGTATCATCAGAAAGCTCTTGTTATGCGCTTTTAAATTCTATATGTTTTTATTTGTTAAGTTGTGTTTTCTTGGCGGCCATATTGGATTTTTTCCAAAGGGGTTAGCCTACGATTTTGGGTGAAAATTTCAAATTTCTTTAAACTTTGTAAATGGTGTAATTGAACCTGGAAATGATGTTTGTTGATGTTTTAACGTAAAATCAGTGATTCTGACAAAATATGAACATGTCAAATTTGATAAGCCGCCATCTTGGATTCCTTCCAAAGGGGTAAGCCTACGATTTGGGGTCAAAATTTCAAATTTCTTTAAACTTTGTATATGGTCAAATGTGAACTGAAAATGATGTTTGTTAATGTTTTAGAGTGAAATCAAAATCATTCTGACAATATATGAAGATGTCAAATTCGAGCAGCTGCCATCTTGGATTTTTTGGAAACGGGTTAGCCTATGATTTTTTTCAACTTTGTATGTGGTCAAACTATACCTCAAAATGATGTTTAGTGATGTTTAAGAGTAGAATAAAAGTGTTTTAACCAAATATGGAGATGTCAAATTGAAGCAGCCGCCATCCTCTATTTTTTCTAAAGGTATTGGCCTATAATCTTAGGTCAAAATTTCAAATTTCTGTTTTGTTTTTCTATGGTCAAATTGGACCTGAAAAATATGTTTGGTGATGTTTTTGAGTGTTTACAGTCATATTGAGGAACTTAAACAAAGGGGTTTTTGAGAGACGCACGTCAACCGGAAGTGAGGACTTAATATGCCTTGACGGAATAAAATTTGTATTGCTCAGTTTCTTTACACTTGCGTAGACGATTTAACTGAAACGTTTTGGCAAAACCACTGCTAAGGAATGTAAAAAGACCACTTCCGCCTGACGTGTGTCGTTCAAAAACGAAAAAAGCTTTTGCTTAAGTTCCCTATTTTTCATATATGGAGAACGAGAGTGTTCAATAAACCAACTTGAGTTTATTTTTTTCTGTCTTTTAATAACAACTTAATTATGATGTATACAACAGCCTTCAACTTTAATCCCAGCATTGAAATAAACAAGAAAAAGAAAAATAGATAATGCTAAAACGTCTTTAATGAATGTTTTATGTTTTTTACCCTTTTTTGTATATAAACGTATATTTACATAAAAAAGCAACCCTGCAATTATATGTCACTGTCTCCGCTGCTTTCGGACAGGTAAAGTCTAAAAGTTATCTCCTCTTCCTCTGTCACGTGTTCCTCCTGACGTTCATCATGTTCCTCCTCTTTATCCTCTTCGGAATGTTGCTCTTCCTCCTCCTCACTTTGATCATCGTCATCCTCACCATCATCGTCATCATCGTCTTCTTGTTCAGGTTCGTACTCGTCATCTTCGGACGTTGTCGACTCCGGCGACGGCTCCCTCGTTGTTTTTTTGGGTAATCTCCCTTTTTGCATTAGCCACCGCGGTCTTAGGACTTTGAGATATCGAGCCCTTAGTGCCTGCCAACTGCGGCCTGGTACAATCTAGCAATAAGATATTTGAATTGGTCAAGAACAATACATTTTTTAAAGAATTTTTGTGTCAAGTAGTAAACCTACCTCTAAAGCTTCTGCTTCTTTCCATATGGCATTTCCTGTTGCCAACCTGACCTTGCCGCTTAAGTAGTCCATAATTTTTTCGTCCTCTTCCCATGTGAACCTCCGTCTTGTTGTCATGATTTCTACCTAAAAGGAGAGTATCGTTGTTTGGTTTCCTGGTCCCCCTCTCGTGTCAATATTAGACAGTGAGAGTATTAGTCTGAGACTTGATAGTGCTAATGCGCTACCGAAAGCCATTCAGAGGGTGTCATCAAGTAAACCAACTTGACTCATTGTGGCCAGGATTGATTGACTAAACTAAGGCACTCTCTATTGCTCTCGCTGGCACTCCCCAAGGGTTGGTTACCTCAGCTCGTGTTGCTCCAAGACGAGAGTTTTCAAGAGGCCAACTTGAAATTTTTTTTTAAGAACAAAACGTATTTACAATAGTATATATACAAGTTAAAATATGTAATATTTTACATAAAGAACTTAAAAAAACAACGGTTTGACCGCCAGCAAGTCCCTTACCCCGGTAGCAAGGGCCAAGCGGTCAAGCACGGTTCTGTTCCGGGCTGTAGGACGACTGGATGAGAATGAAATTGTTTTTTTTTTTGCTCCGTTTCAACAGATATCTACAATAGTATACACTGTCCCTCATTTGCTGCGTCTTTTGAAGATGTTTTTCACTTTTTGATAGCAGCGCGTGGCCCCCTCTTTGGCCAAGACGTCCCGGAGAGAAGGCGCTGCTTCAAGGTGGGCGATTATTTGGGATTTGACGGGCCGAACTGGAAACTTTGAAAAGTAGGACTCGATCGCCTCAGTGTGCTCCTCGGACCACGCCAATCTGCTCCTAGCACCCTCGGAAACCGCGGAGAAGCTCTCCTCTATCCACGTATTCAATCGATCTTTACGCACAACCTTCTCAGTGGTCTTTCGTTCGAGGCTTCTTCTGGCTGCAACGGTCTGCTGATATCGGAGTTTATTCATGATCTTTTTGACAAGGGTCTTGTTTGTGAGGTCCAGGTGTCCCAGCGCGGTGTTTTTAGATATTTTGCTGGTGACCAGATCTTGGGTAAGGGTGACATTGCTAGAAATTTCGCTGTTTAATAAGTCCAGCAACAACGTATCTTCTACCTCATCAATTTCTTCCTTGTCAGCTTCGACCACTTCCTCTTCTTCTTCCACTTCTTCTACGTCTCCCTCATCAACATCCATTTCTTCGTATCCTCCCACTTCACATCCCTTATCAACAACCATTACTTCGTCTCCTTCCTCGTCATCAGACTCCCTATACCCGATGTTGGACTTCAATAGAGCATGGCCAGCTGCTGCAACTTTTGCCTGGTCAGGCCTGATGTAGCTGCGATCAGCTGTCCTCTCGGAGTGGGTCATGTGCTGGTGAACTAGCCTCTTCTCTGCATCGGTTGATGCTAACGTTGTTGTTGCGGCCATTTTTCGCATCCTCGTGCTGGTGATCTTGATGTCTGGTCTTTTGCCAGTTTGCTCCCAGAAGCTGGTTATTCTTCGACCGATCTTGCCCTTGGGGAATGGGTTTCCCTTATTGGTGATGAACAAAAACGGAGAAGAGCCAGGGAAAATGGTGCGGACGTGTTTGATATAAGTTTCCATCTTTTTGCTGAGTGATTTGGACATGGAGATTGGGGCTGGCCTGGCAGTCGATGTTTTGTGTTGGGGGGCGCAAATTGTTCTTGTTCCAGAATCCTGATCAATTTCGGCATCCTGGAAGTCCTCCAACAAGATGGTTTCGAATGGACCAGGACGCTGTCCATTCTGAAATTCGAGGCTAGCTATCAGAAAGTCTCTAACTAAACAACATTGGTGGATGGTAACCTTTGTGTAAGGGGCCTTCTTTAGGAGGGCATCTGCTTTTTTGGCTGGCTTTGTTTCATTGATGTCTCTGACATCTTCCGGCCGAAGGCGAGACTTCATCTCCGCCAGCTGTCTTCTCCATTCATCACCTTTGTAATGCTTTCGGATCACAGCACGCCAGGCTGCCAAGTCGTTGTACGCAGTCTTGACTGACTTTAACAAAGCTGGCGTTACTTGCAGAAGGGGTTCTTCCTCGTCCTGGCAGCGTATGATAAATTTGTAGAACTTTTCAAGAGACGTCAAATAAGAAATGATAGTGCCTGGCCTTTTTTTCTTCTCATCTAATAACCGCTTGGCCCATTCCCAAACTGCTTTTCCTTGGCTGTCCGTAATGCAGGCTATTTCTGTCCCTGTAGGATCTATGGACTGCAACATCAGGTATATCTGACTTGCGTGCTGGTCTGCCTGCACCTTTGTCAAAGCTTTTCCTGCTAGTGACTGAAGGTATTCATGAAAGCGTATAAGCCAGATATGGCGGGGAGCTGATGGGTTCTTCATCTTTAAGACATTGCTGAAGGACTTTTTCACTTCATCTTCATCTTCATCCTCATCCTCATCGCCTTCACAACCACCATCTTCACCACCTTTACCTCCATCATCTTCACTGTCACCTCCAACATGGTCTTCCTCATCATCCCCATCATCCCTTTTGGGACTGTTGGCATCGCCTCCATCTCCGACTTCCGTTTCAGCTTTACCCTGCTTTGACCCTTTACTCTCACAACCCTTGCTTCCAGCAACCTTTTTGAACACCTGAATTGTACCACCTACTTCGCTACTTTCACTCTCACTTGCTGCTCTGTTCTCTGCCGCGGCTTGGGCAATTCGGCGTTGCTGTTCTCTATGACATTCCGGAGAAGGAGGAATGACTTTGCTGTCGTCACTTCCACTGCTTTCTTCTTCTTCATCAGCAGAAGGGTGATAGCTTTCGTCATCAGACTCGGTGTCGCTTCGTAAGTTACAGTTGAACAAACGCATAAAACTACTTGGAGAGGCTGTCTCCTTCGATGGTTTTGTCGATTTTATGTACTTTAGTTCCTCGTCGCCTTCGTAGGCCCTGGCCAACAGCATGTACCTTTCGCTCTCTTTGGAACTCCGGGGTATGCCGTGCTTGTTAGCGAAGTGAGTGGGCAGGTAGGCTGTCACCAGTTCGCATATTGGACACTTAACAAACCTCCTCCTCGCTCTCACAATTTTCGTTCTTTTCTTCATGCATTGTTCCTCTCTGTGGAGTGTGCCTCCCTTGTCAGCGTACTGGACGAGGGCAGTTATGCGATCTTTCGAAGTCTCGCCTTTTCGTACGTGGACCAAGAGGTGTCTGTCTAGTCTGGTTTGGTCCTTTTTGCAGAGCGGACATTTTCGGATCTTGTAGTGCTTCTTTGTACTTGGTGATGGGTTAGGTCTTCTACTTGTGCCTGCCGTTGCTTCTGTACTTGGAGCTGCAGTGGTAGCCATATGCAAGGAAGTTGTGGTTGCCGTGGCTGGCCCACTTGGAGCTGCAGTGGTAGCCTTAGAAACGCTAGTTGTGGTTGCCGTAGCTGGCCTACTTTGAGCTGCAGTGGTAGCTGTAGAAACGCTAGTTGTGGTTGCCGTGGCCGCCGTACTTGATTCCTGGTGAAGGGCTGACTGTGGTGTGCCCCACCCCAAAAATTTTATGAGGTCCTTTACTTCGTCGGTATCAACCATACCCCACCTATTTGTATCAATGTCCTTGCCCCACTTTGTCACGGCCAGATGCCTCAGTCTTGACATCTGGTTCTTAAAAGACTCTTTTAAGTAGCTGTTACCCGTCACATGGGCCGATGACCATCCCAATGCTGCCATCTGATACTCGCAGCTAAGGCTTTCGTGACTGGGACAATTTCCCATCGGGAAAGTCACAGGTCCTTCGGGGATGAGATGGTCCCGATAAACGTTTTCCCTTCGGTGCTGCTGTTGCTTTTCCATCTCTCGGTATAGAATGTTCAAGCGTTCTTTGGATGAAAGCTTAGGGTCTGTCCAGAACCCTTGTTCGTCCATTTCACTTAAAATAAGAGTACGAAACCCTAATAAGGCGCTTACTAGTCAATAGGCTTGTCCCATATCTAAGAACGTTCAGCGCACACTAAAAGTAACTAATAAAGTGCTTACTAGTCATTGCGCTACTCGCCAACCTACGGACGTTCAGCACACACTTGAAGTACCTAACAGAGTGCTTACTAGTCAGTGCGCAAGTCGCCTATCTACGGACTTTCAGCACACAATAAATGAAATGGTTACTTACAGATCAAGTAAGGTTATTGTTGAGGTAAACAGGCCAAAAACACGCAGTTACCTAGGGTGAAAGAAAAACAATAAAGTCAGTAAAAAGTTCTTTTAACAGCTCAACAAATGTTTAAAAAGGAATACTAATATCAAGAAGAAAAAAGCACGCGAACTTCACAATAAAGAGTAAAAATAAACAACCGTTACTTACTATATATCACAAATCCTCTCTTTGAGGTAAGGAATAAAAAAGTCTTGAATAACGAAGAACCTAAAAGATGAAGAAGGAAAACATTTTAATACCAACGTTCTTTCAAGGGGCGATAATAAGCAAGCGAACGAAATAAAGAGACGTAAGAAAAAAAGAAATAAATAAATAAAGAAACGACATAAAGATATAAAAAAAGGAAATAATAAAGAAATTAAAAAGAAACTTACCTTTACTGAAACGAAGATCTGAAATTGTTTCCAAGAGAACGGTTTAAGATAAAGAAGAAAAGTTCGTTCCTAAAAGAACGGTTTTAAACAGTAGAAAAGTTCGTTCCTAAAAGAACGGTTTTAGAAACGGCCGAAAACTCGAGAAGACCAGAGAACAAAATGACAGAAATTCACCCTAGACATACGTGCGAATCAGATTCAGCACAAAAATTAGCGTAAAAACCGGAAGTGTGTTTTTTTTGCACAAAAATCTCGCCTCCCACCCAAGTGCATAACTGAAATCAATAAAAAACCATTGATAATATTAGTTTCTAAGTTTTTCTAAGTGGCCCTGAAGAAAAATTACCCCAAGAGCAACAATGGTCAAAATTATTAAACAAAAACCCCCCCAAAAAATGTTGCCGGATCGAAAATTACAAGGTTTTGTATGGAAGAGAAATATTGGTAAAGCTCCATGGGGATACGTCCGATCACTATAAATCTTTGCAGATATACTGTCCTGGATACGGGCAACACTACGAAAGCTCGCGTTTTAATATTTGACCATTCCCTGGGTTTTTGTATTTTTAATTTTTTGCATAAATTAGCATAAAAACCGGAAGTGTGTTTTTTTTTTAAAGAAAATCGCGTCTCCCACCCAAGCGCATAACTGAAAGCAATAAAAAACCATTGATAATATTACTTTCTAATTTTTTCTAAGTGACCGAGAAGAAAAAATACCCCAGGAGCAACAATGGTCCAAATTATTAAACAAACACCAATAAAAAAAATGTTGACGGATCGAAAATTACAAAGTTTTGTATGGAAAAGAAATGTTGGTAAAGCTCCATGGGGAAACGTCCCATTATCTTGAAACTTCACAGACATACTGTTTTCTATACGGGCAACACTACCAAAGCTCGTTTTTTGATATAGATGCACATCCCTGGGTTTTCATTTTTGCATAAATTTGCACCGTTCACGTGTTGAATTGCCCTGACTTCCGGTTAGCTCCAGAGTTAGTTTTCAGCGATGTTTGGGGTTGTTTTAATATCTTTTGGAGGTCATATTGGCCATATATTGCGGCCGTCTTGGATGTTTTCTATATCCACATGTATTAAGATTAATTCAAGCAAAATTTCCGATAAATTAGATAAATCTGTAGTAATCAGGGTCCAAAAATGAAAGCGAAAATGCCAAAAACAGACCATGTTTGCTCAAACTATTAAAAAAATCATAAAAAATTTGAAACGTAATGTCTAGACAGAACTAAGACGTTTTCAGGAAGCTGACAACTTGTTCTTACTTTCTGGTAAGTATGAGAGTAGTGCAACAAATTTACAGAAAGTAATAGGCTTATTTCTTTACTTTAATTTTTTTGGTGATTTCCCGACAATTGCGGGTAATATAATTTTTTTTACTCAGAAAATATAAGGGGTTAAAGTATGGGACCTGTATTCTTGGTTTTCACCCACGTGACCTGTAAATTGACCACGTGCGGCGTCCGCCATATTGGTGCCCCTGACATGTAAACAAAGCTGACTCGAAGAGACGCACGACTGGAGAAGGACCGAGATGTAACAATGGTTATGTGTATTGTTGTAGGCTGTGCGAGCAAACGCGATACAGCAAAAGGAGTTGGTATGTTTCGTATACCTTCGGTTATTTATAATCAAGGTGAAGAAACGGAGGAACTAACGAGAATGAGGCGCGAGAAGTGGATTTCTGCGATTAGCAGAGACGATGTGAAATACAAGGACATCTTAAAGAGTGAAAGAGTTTGTGGCCGCCACTTTGTGTCTGGGAAACCTTCCCAGCGCTGGGATAAACACAACGTCGACTGGGCTCCGAGTTTAAACCTTGGCAAAAAGAGATACAGAGAAAAAAGCTCCGAGGCGGCGACCGAACGGGCTGAAAGAGCAAAAGCTCGAAGGAAGAGTGCCTTAGAACAACAGCAACTCGAGGCGGCGAAGAAAATGACACTTCTGAATGAAAGCGGTCCACGGGTTGTGGATATAAATTTTTCCAGCGATTCAGCAAGTACCTCGGGAGATGTTGAAGCGATGGAACTCGCGCATGAAGATGCTCCAGTTGTTTGTGCTAACGAAGCAGAACAACAACAAGAAAGAATGGCAACTGGTGTAGAAACACAAACAGAAGCATTCGATTATTTATATCGAAAAACTGTCGGATGTGAAACGCCCGACAAGGACGCTGAAACCCAAACAGAGGCATTCGATTATTTATATCGAGAAACTGGCTGTTTAGAAGCGCCCGACAAGGACGCTGAAACCCAGACAGAAGAATTTGACTATCTTGTCCCCAAAAGTAGCGGCTATCAAGCACCAGACAGGGAATTCTTTAAAGGTGACGAGAAGGTGCGTTTTTACACAGGTCTGCCTTCATACGAAGTACTCTTGGTGACATTTGAACATGTTGCTCCTTATGTCACTCGCCGTACTCAATCATTAGACAGATTTCAAGAATTTGTGCTGGTTTTGATGAAACTTCGGTTAAATGTGCCACTTCAGGACTTGGCGTACCGATTTAACATATCTTTGACCACAGCCTCTAGAATTTGTTCATATTGGATGGTGGTGCTGGATGCCAAGTTGTCTACTCTTGTTTTTTGGCCTGAAAGAGAACAGTTATGGAACACAATGCCAGTTTGTTTTCAGTATGCTTTCGGAAAGAAAGTCACTGTGGTAATCGATTGTTTTGAGCTTTTTATTGAACGTCCATCAAACTTACTCGCAAGGGCCCAAACATTCTCCTCATATAAGCACCACAAGACTATAAAAATACTCATTGGTATTTCCCCTCAAGGAAGCATATGTTTTGTGTCAGAAGCGTGGGGAGGCCTCACTTCTGATAAGTATTTGACCGAAAATTGTGGATTTTTGGAACATTTATTACCTGGGGACATGGTAATGGCGGACAGAGGATTCACCATTGCAGAGAGTGTCGGCTTAAAACAAGCAAAGTTGGTGATTCCAGCATTCACGAAAGGAAAATCCCAGCTCGACCCCGTGGATGTGGAAAAAACAAGGGGAATTGCAAATGTACGTATCCATGTGGAGCGAGTGATCGGATTGTTACGACGCAAGTACACTATTTTAGAAGGAACACTACCAACTGATTTCCTTAATTCTGCAAATGGAGAGGTTTCAATGATTGACCGTATTCTGAGGGTTTGTGCTGCACTAGTGAATTTATGCCCTCCTATAATACCATTTGACTAGTGGTTTATTTGACGCTATTAATTGCAAAGTGTTTCTCAGTTGAGTGATT